AGTAGAAAGTAAATGAACATATCAATCCAAAAATCACCTGAAAAAATATTTTTCGGAATGTAAACTAATGACACGGGTAATGACACTTGGTACCCGCCGAGACCTACCTTTTACAAAAAAACGTTCTGTAATTATATAATTGTAACAGTTGTATTCACACCGAGTTGACAACAATAACAACAGAAATGGCGTCTGTCAAATTGGATCATCAGATCTGTGATTGGATATTAAAAACCAATACACTTGGCAACTCCGCTGTAGACACGATCAATTTTATTGGTCAACAGACACGCGGCCAATTTAAATTCTTGCTTTTCGAATTATTATTTTTTCTGCAAATATAGATTTTGGGACCCATTAGGCTTGATAAGTATAATATACCCTAACTCAGTCTATAAGCAAACCAGTATCATTTTCCATAGCATGAAACAAGCCCATTGTCGAATCACTTTTGCCACTCTGATTGAGGTATCTCCAAAACATGCATTCTCAATGCAGCAACCGCTTCTTCAGGTGTTTTTTTACGTGCGGGAATAAAAAGTAGTCATTCGGTGCCAAGTCAATACTATACGGCGGATGACTCATCAAATCGATGTTTTGGGTGCTCAAAAATGCAGTTGTTTGAGCCGATGTGTGAGAGCTCGCATTGTCGTGGTGAAGAGTGATCCGTCTTCGGCGGTTGGTTTTCCTGATTTCTTGGAAGACAACTGGCAAACAAATGGTTGTGTACCACTCAGAATTGACTGTTCTGCGTTGGGTTCTAGTGGTACGGTTGCAACATGTCCAGTTTTTCCGAAAAAACAGGCGACCATTTGCTTGTAAGTGCTTCGTGCGCTAACAACTTTTGTTGGATTTGGCTCTGCTTGAAACACCCATACCACAGTATTTCTGTATACAGTAGCTTCACTCAGCGTCGGTCCCTTTGATGTCGGTGTCCAGGAGTTTCATTTTTTATAATGATGACGTATTTGACACTAATGACATTTCTCCCTACTATGATGTTTTGGGTGCTCAAAAATGCAGTTGTTTGAGCCGATGTGTGAGAGCTCGCATGGTCGTGGTGAAGAGTGATCCGTCTTCGGCGGTTGGTTTTCCTGATTTCTTGGAAGACAACTGGCAAACAAATAGTTGTGAGCCACTCAGAATTGACTGTTCTGCGTTGTTCTAGTGGTACGATTGCAACATGTCCAGTTTTTCCGAAAAGACAGGCGACCATTTGCTTGTAAGTGCTTCGTGCGCTAACAACTTTTGTTGGATTTGGCTCTTCTTGAAACACCCATACAGTCGACTGCTATTTACTTTCGGGCTCATACGCGTAAATCCACGATTCATCACCTGTCACGATGTCATAGCGATTGACAAATTGTGTGAGATCCAACGCAAACAAATTTTTTTGACAGTCAAATGTTTATGCAATATTGAATGTATGCTGGTCTCACTAATCTCACGATAGGTCACATGACGATCCTGCAATGTCAGTTCGCGCACAGCATCAATGGTTTTCGGAACAACAACTGATTTTGGAAGACCTTCACGAAATTCGTCTTGGACTGAACTACGACTACGATTGAATTCATCATACCATCGATAAACACTGGTCCTTGATGGAGCTTCATCGCCAAGAATTGAATCAAGTTCATCCATGCACTGCTGCTGAGTTAATCCACGTCGAAAGTTGTAAAAAATAATCGCACGAAACTGTTCACGATTTAATTCCAGTTGCCAGATTGCAATACTAGGGTTGCCAAATCCCGAAACATAAAAGGCAACCTACCGTATGCTCTTTGTGGTATGTCCTTGAGTCTGCTGAATTATGCAAGACTTCAACCACAAAAGACACCCATATCTGTCAACTTCAGATGGCAAATTGGATATCACTTAACCGAGCAACTTGTCGCAGTATTTAGAAGTCGTTGAAGGTTGAAAATTTGCATAAAATTATTCATGCAATATGCGTAACCAAATATGATTAATAAAAACTTACTACTCTGTGAATATTCACCCTGACATTGAGCAAATAATAATAAGTCAATATCAAGTGCAATAATGAGAAACATTATGCAAATGTTGATGTGTCTTGTATGAAAATATACAATGAATTAATCGAAATGGATGGTTTGAAAGTACGATTAGAAGAAATTAAATTTGTCATTTTGTCTGCTACTGCGGCTATGGTGTAAGTATTGACCTTGGGATACTACACACTGACTAAAGATTTCTACCGCAGTGGCAGACAAAACGTTTTTCACTACAAGTTCCTTTCGACCCGGATTTTGTTCCTTCTGAGTAGATGTGCAATGAGAGAGCTAGGACTGAAATGGCCGTTCATCATGTAAATCTCCTTTAAAAAAGCAGGTTCAACATGTCGTTTTTGTCACTGAATTTCCTAAAATTCACTAGACTTGATCAAAAAGTCACTAGATTTATCCGAAAAGTCACTAGTTTTGCAAAAAGTCACTAGATGTGTCCAAAATGTCATAAGATTTCTACAAAAAGTCCTTTTACCTAAGATTCCACTAGGTTTTCGCTGAGATTCCTATTGGTAAATGAGAATTTCGATTCTGGTACTCATGAACCTTTGGAAATTCTAGTGAATATTTGGGGGAATATAGGGACTTTTTGAAGAAATCTAGTGACTTTTAGACAAATCTAGTGATATTTTGGAAAAACCTAGTGACTTTTTGTCAAATCTAGTGACGTCTTTCAAAGGACAAAACACAAGCACTACAGGAAAATCCTTAATGTGCGAAAGTAGTGATTCACATTGAGTTTGAATCGCTGGAGATTAAATCCATTTGAAAAAAACGTTCTCAGGAAGTTTATTCAATATATACGCCGTTCTCCAAATGATAGAGTTCTTGAACAGTGAAATTCGAGGTGTACCGAGTTGAACCTCAAAACGATGAGCAGCCACAATCCGTCGCGTATTTCTGACATGTACCTCTCTTAGTGGAATCAAATGTGCCAAGTCACTTGAACACTCCCCGTGAAAGAATATATAGAGACAAATTTTCAACCTTTCTTCGATGTTCCAGACTATTAAGTCGTTAATATATAATAGTGGCAAATCTAGTGACTTTTTGGAAAACCAAGTGACAAAAATGACCTGGTTTTTTTCCTTGGAGATTTGTTAAAACGACCATTTCGGTCCTAGCTCTCTCATAACATATCTACTCTTCTGATAGTATTAACATTGATTCATTTCAATGCGATTTGTTTCTTGTTAAATATTCAGTCAGGAGTTAGGCGAATGGGATTTTTATGCCTATCACTGCACAAGACTAGAAGATATTAGAGATGTCAATACCGATCGGACTAAATCGTCTTTCTGTTTCCGACATCCAATTGGTTCCACCATACCTTGTTCTTATTTATTTTTTGAAGTGATTGTTTACATCTTTTAATTTGCTTTTATTCTAATTATATAATTATCAAAGTAGTTTGATTGTTTTTTCCAACACTACATACCTCAACGATTCAAAATTGAGTACAATCATCGTATGCCACTGTCAATATTTCAAGTGTTTTTGAGCACTCAATTCAATTTTTTCACACAAAATTTGGTCCAAATTCTTCTGACACTTGAACATATAATCGAGACGAGTGAACCAACATAAAAAAATAAAAAGAATCGCTAATCGAAATTCGAACGTCCACCTTATTTTTTGAACAGTCCTCGTATACCTCGAAGTTACCACTTTTTGTATGTTATTTTTACGAATGATAAGAAAATCAACACGGATTTCTCATATCAAATCAAAAATGAGGCATTTACCGCTCTTCACATGATAAAAGTTTGAATTAATTAGTTCATTAATGGAAAAGGAAAGTGTTAAATAAGCCTTACCTTTTGGATCCAATTTTTCTGGGTTAAACCATGCATCTGAAAAGGTGAATATTAGTGTTAGAGGATTAGTTATATTATATGTACAAAATAAATTATTTTATGGGTGGTATTAAACAATATGACCTCAACCGAATTAAATAACTTCCTGTGTGTACATAATATAATACTTTCATTCAGAAGAGATGGTACACATAGGGCATCAATTAGAAACTGTACCGCTCCTAATATCTCTATTGCAGGAAAAAATTAATGAATCAATTATAAGAGGCAGTATCATACCCGTACCATAATTTACAAATCCATGATAATCACGCGTTTTGCTAACATGGTAGCTTCCTCTGTAGCCACTACAACTCTTATACAGTGTGTATAAATGGAATACATTTTGACATACTTCAACTGAAAAATGCTACCCCTACTTTCAACCCCCTTTGAATGACTGGTACAACCCCCAATTTTTCAAATGGGAAGTATACGCTTGTGATATATCGTTTGAAAGACCTCTTCATTATATATTCAAAAATGTTATCGCTTTCAAATTTATTGCAACAATTGAGATAAGATAAATTAAAATCATATGGTTATCGAAATTCGATAAAATCCAACCAAAACTTATTGCAATATACTCAAAACTTATTTCATGTTGAGGTATTGATAATAAAAAGTAAGCAGAAACCATACCAATGTTCTTCTTAGATGGTATCCTTTAAAAAACTGTAAATAATTTCCGTGGCAACGCTAGTTTGAAACGCCTTGTCAACTTGTTTTGTATGTTACAACATTAGTTGTCAGTATTTTAATTTAAGTTTGAAGTTGGTTAACTTCAAGTCTGACAAATGGTTAGATTAACGGAAATGCATGAAATAACAGTTTTACAAATGCTTGGTAACGGAGATAAAACCCTAACACAACAGGAAGTAGCTCGCCTATTTCAAGAGAAATTTCCTAATTTACTGCCCATATGTCAAGGAACAATAGAGAAACAGTTTCGCGAGCTTGGTCATGTGGGGCAGATAAAAAAGCAGCTGCCAATGCAATTAATGATGTATTATTATGTGTATTAACATACACATATTAACGATTTTGATAGAACTTATTTTTGTGACCAAATGATGGACATGTTGGATAACAATATTATTCAATTAGAAGACGTTATGTTTTCTGATGAGTGTACTTTGTCTCTTAACGGTTATGCTAATCGGCAAAATTACCGCTACTGATCAACGGAAAATCCTCACTGGATGAGAGAAGAACACACACAATAGCCACAAAAGGTTAATGTTTAGGCGGGGATTGTAGGAAACCATATTGGTACCTTTTTCATTGAGGGCAACTTGAATGGCGATAATTACTAGGCACTACTTCAAAATGATGTCATTCCAAGTTTAGTTTGTATACTGATCCAGAAAACCCTCAAGTTCCAGTGAATACGATATAGTTTCAGCAGGATGGAGCACCACCACATTACCAAGTTAATGTCC